GCAATCACAGTGAGACCAGACATTGCCTATGCATGCAAGGAACTGACCAAGTTCTTTTCGTGCTGGGGCAAGACTCACTTCAAGTATGCGTGCCATGTGCTTCGGTATCTGAAAGGGACCGCTGGGCGAGGATTGGTCTTCAAGCGAAAGGCCACTGACGATGTGTTGCATTGCCCCCATTGTGGTGTGCGCCATGAGGAGCCACCAGAAGGCAAGCACATCATCATGGCTGGCACGAGAAGAATCGATCTGCACAAACCACACCGCATACACATATGCCATGAGTGCGGCAACCATTGGGATGAAGGCCGACCTACTCTTGGGCGCATACCTGGCCACGAAGATGACGAGAATACCGCGGCGCTCGTCGCCTATGCGGATGCGTCATGGGCCGACCAGGAGAACGCCAGGAGCACCGGTGGCTTCGTCATCCAGATGGATGGATGCCCGATCGCGTGGTCGAGCAGAACGCAGTCGATTGTGGCCCTGAGTAGCACAGAATCAGAGTACATCGCTGCAAGTGACTGCACTCGTGAGCTGCTGTACCTGATGCAAGTGATGGAGGGGCTGGGCTTCAGGGTGCCACCCACAGTCCTGTATGGCGACAACGATGGTTGCATACAGAACATCAAGAACCATCAGGCCTCAAAGAAGACGAGGCATGTTGCTATCAAGTACCATCATGTGCGCACACTTACCAGGACGGGAAGATAAGGCCCGAGTACGTGCCGTCGAAGGAGAATGTTGCTGATCTCCTGACGAAGTCGCTCCCTGCCTCACAGCACGCGAAGTTCACGTGCATGGTGACGAGAGGAGCCGACGCCATCACTCTCAGCAACGATGGGCTGACGACAGAACCTGAAAGGCAGAAGAGAAAGCGTCAGACATCAAAGAGTGATAGCACAAAGAGGCGCAAGGTGGACTAGGGAAGCAGAGAGTCCCACAGTGCTGTGTAGTGTGTGTGACTGACCCATCGAGTGGGAGATAGACACACGAGGCACCGCTCCTGCTTCCAGATGGAACCGTTCATTGGTGGGTTGGCTCGGTTGCCGTCCTCCGACTGTCCAACAGCCGCACACGAATGGAAGAGCGAGCCAGAATCCAACCCCTGGGTTTGGGGTCCAGGGTTTGGCCTAGGGCTCCGAGATTCCTAGCGCTGTGTGCGAAGAGGGGTGTTGCGGAATGTGTACGCCCACAGCTGGACAGAGGCGTCTGTACACGGAGCGCATGTAGGCCCGTGGCCTAAGTAGATCCATAGATCTGCCCAATCAGAGTCAGGGCGATCACTGCTTCACGTGCAAAAGACTCTTGCGTGTTCCGTGAAGGCTCCTTGTGCTTGGTGTGCGTTAGCCGATATCTCGCTTGACCACTGCGTTACGCAACTACATCGTCACTTCTAGTTTGGTGCGAGCTTGAAGGGTGCGATATTGGGTATCTCTCAGAGCGATCGCGGTGAAATCCGAGTTGTGGGTCTGCTCTCGGAGAGGGCGGTCTCCGTCAGTCCTATCAGATTTGCGATCAGAGATACCATCCGGCTTCTGCATCTCTCTTGCAAACCAACATAATCCAGCGAAGAGCACGTCGGGTTGATCCTTCAGAGCGAACCAGCGTTTCGACTGCATCAAGTGGTCAAGCGACGAGATCCAGCAGGTATGATATGAGCAGTAGCGCATCTTGGACACTGCAGGGAGGACCAAAACGGAGCGCCAGGCATCTCGTAAGTTGTTGAGATGTCATGCTTTCGTACTTTCTGCAGATTCTTCTCCCTCCTGAACACCTCACCCCAGCCTTGCAGAGCCCAGCCGCCTACCGCGCGCCAGTCGCGAGGATGACCCGAGGTTCATCGTCAGGTCGGCCGAGACTGAATTTCTTTCTTTTCGTTGTCGTTGCTTTGATGGCCGTGGCGGTACCTCATCATGCGGCCAACTATTGTGGAACCTCCTGGTCTAATGCCCAATTCTTGTGCGACCGACAGTGCCCTTCCGGCAAGGATGCCCAGTGCGACATGGAGGCTGGTCAGAAATGCTACGCGGATATTCAATGCCCGTAGCTGGGATGCGGTTTGTGGTTGAGGTGCATAGGTGGATGGCTCCATGGTTTTAGTTCTTCTGTGGGGGGCTTTTTTTTTGGGCAAATACCACCGACAGGACAGTGCGACGTTTTACTGATGATCGAAGAAGAGGGGCCCAAACAGATAAGGGATGATGAGCGTGGTCAGTCAGCAGTGTACACAGCTTCTCACCAAAAACACTGTCTCTGACCCTATCGGTGGGGTACAAGACAAAACATCAAGCGAAATAATGACTTCGAGAGGTACAGGATGGTCAGTCACTTGGGGAGGAAGGGGGACCTCGCAGTGTGTGCCTTGGGTATAAGAATGAAGGAGGTGCATTCACACTTTAGAAGTACGGACCGAACAGACCAAAGCAAACGACGAGTACGACAGACTATATCATCTTTCCCCAAGCAAGGCAGACGCTAAAGTCAGAAGGCTAAGCAGGCTGGCGGTTTGGAGGAGGCGCAGCGCAAAGAGGAGCGCGAGGACTATCCCTGAAGCTCACTTCCGCCTCCGCCGACCACCCAGCGAAGTGGATGGCAATGAAGGCGATGATCGCCAGAGAACTCAGAAAATCGATCACGTTCCCAAATGTTGGTGCCCACACATACCGACAGCACACAAATGGAGCCCCCAGCACGCAGCTTGACGCACCATGAGTCTTCCCAGTACGCTGCCTTCAGTCTGATGCCCTGCACACATAGAGACGATGACACATGTTGTTGATCAGTGAGGTATGTCTTCTCTGATCTGTCGCACTTGGACGATCTCCATCAAGATGAAGCCACCTCCCGTCAGCACTGCGCCCCAGAGCCACACCGACGGCCACACCCACGCCATAATCATGCCGCTGTCTCCCTTGCTGGACTCGATGTGCAGCAGCACAAAGGCCACCCTGCGACACACAGACATGCCATGTGTCTCGCTGTCTTGATCGTTGTGATGGCTGCAGCCTCATTCAGAGACATTAATCATATAGACACGCTCCAGTCCATACGTGCATGCGCAGGTGTGCGCACACAGACATTCATCATATCCATACGTGGATGCGCAGGTGTGCGCATGCAGACATTCATATACACACACTCCAAGTCCAAACGTGGATGCGCAGGTGTGCGCACATAGACATTCACTATATACACGCACTTCAAGTCGAAACGTGTATGTGCAGGGGTGCGCACAGAGACATTCATGAGATACCCACACTACAAGTCGACACGTGCATGCGCAGGTGTGCGCACACAGACATTCATGATGATATACCCGCACTCCAAGTCCAAACGTGCATGCGCAGGTGTGCGCACACAGACATTCATTATATACACGCACTTCAAGTCGACACGTGCATGCGCAGAGGTGCGCACACAGACATTCATCATATACACACACTTTTATTCTATACACACACTCCAAGTCCGCAGGGGTGCGCACACAGACATTCATCATATACACACACTCCCATATACACACACTCCAAGTCGACACGTGTATGCGCAGGGGTGCGCACACAGAGGTTCATTATGTATGCGCAGGGGTGCGCACACACACATTCATTATATACACACACACCAAGTCCGCAGAGGTGCGCACACAGACATTCCTCATATACACGCACTTCAAGTCGACACGTGCATGCGCAGAGGTGCGCACACAGAGGTTCATCATGTACACACACTCCAAGTCGACACGTGCATGCGCAGGGGTGCGCACACAGACGTTCATTATATACACACTCCAACTCCGCAGGGGTGCGCACACAGACATTAATTATATACACGCACTTCAAGTCGACACGTGCATGCGCAGGTGTGCGCACACAGAGGTTCATTATATATACACACACCAAGTCCACACGTGCATGCGCAGGGGTGCGTAAATAGACGTTCATCATATACACACACTCCAAGTCGACACGTGCATGCGCAGGGGTGCGCACACAGAGGTTCATGATGATATACACGCACTCCAAATCCAAACGTGCATGCGCACGTGCATGCGCAGGTGTGCGCACACAGACATTCATGATATAGACACACTCCAAGTTCAAACGTGCATGCGCAGCTGTGCGCATACAGACATTCATGACATAAACACACTTCAAGTCAATATAGACACACTTCAAGTCGACACGTGCATGCGCAGGTGTGCGCACACAGACATTCATTATATACACGCACTTCAAGTCGACACGTGCATGCGCAGAGGTGCGCACACAGACATTCATTACATACACCCCCTCCAACTCCAAGCGTGCATGCGCAGGTGTGCGCACAGTGACATTCATTACCGAAGGCTTCGGTTGCAATGGATCCCTTCCCAAGACGCAAACAAAGAGATGTGAGTCAAATACGAGTGTGTTTGAGGCACGTCTGACCTTCCCTGGTTTTAGTGTGGAGCAAATACACACCAAGTCCACACATGCATGCCCAGGGGTGCGCACACAGACATTCATTATATACACACACACCAAGTCCAAACGTGCATGTGCAGGAATGCGCACACACCCTTCAAGTCGACACGTGCATGCGCAGGGGTGCGCACACACACGTTCATCATATACACACACTCCAAGTCGACAGGGCTGCGCACACACATATTCATTACATACACACACACCAAGTCCACACATGCATGCCCAGGGGTGCGCACATAGACATTCATTATACACACACACACCAAGTCGACACGAGCATGCGCAGGCGTGCGCGCACACAGACATTCATTATATACATACACTCCAAGTCGACACGTGCATGCGCAGGGGTGCGCACACAGACATTCATTATATACACACACTCCAAGTCGACACGTGCATGCGCCGGGATGCGCAGGGGTGCGCATACATACATTCGTCATATACAAAAACACCCAGTCGACACGTGCATGCGCAGGGCTGTGCACACACGCACCAACTCGACATGTGCATGCGCATTGATGCCTATACAAACATTCATTGTATACACACACTCCAGGTCGACACGTGCATGCGCAGGGGTGCGCACACAGACATTCCTTATACACACACACTGAGTCCAAACCTGCATGCGCAGGGGTGCGCACACACACGTTCATTATATACAAACACACCATTATATACAAATACACACCAAGTCGACACGTGCATGCGCAGGGGTTCGCAGACAGACGTTCATTATATATACACAAACTCAGTCCAAACGTGCATGCGCAGGGGTGCGCACACAGGCATTCATTATACACACACACTGAGTCCAAATTTGCATGCGCAGGGGTGCGCACACACACGTTCATTATATACAACACACCATTATATACAAATACACACCAAGTCGACACGTGCATGCGCAGGGGTGCGCAGACAGACATTCATCATATACATACACACACTCGCATGTGCAGGGGTGCGCAGGCACACGTTCATTATATACATACACACCAAGTCGACACGTGCATGCGCAGGGGGGCTACAGACATTCATTATATACACACACTCCAAGTCGACACGTGCATGAGCATGGATGCGCACAAACACATTCATCATCTACACACACTCCAAGTCGACACGTGCATGCGCATGGGTGCGCACAGAGACATTTATTATATACACACACTCCAAGTCGACACGTGCATGAGCTTGGATTCTGTGCATATAATGAACGTGTCTGTGGGCACCCCTGCGCATGCACGTGTCGACTTGGAGGGTGTGTATATCATGAATGTCTGTGTGCGCACCCCTGCGCATTCACGTCTCGACTTGGTGTGTACGTATATAATGAATGTCTATGTGCGCACCCCTGCGCATGCACGCGTCGACTTGGATTCTGTATGTATAATGAACGTATGTGTGGGCACCCCTGCGCCTGCACGTGTCGACTTGGTGTGTATGTGATGAATGTCTGTGTGCGTGTGCGCACCCCTGCGCATTCACGTGTCGATTTGGAGTGTTTGTATATCATAAATGTCTGCGTGCGCACCCCTGCGCATGCACGTGTCGCATGCACGTGTCGACTTGGTGTGTATGTATATGATGAATGTCTGTGTGCGGCACCCATGCGCATGCACGTGTCGACTTGGATTCTGTGTATATAATGAATGTGTATGTGCGCACCCCTGCGCATGCACGTGTCGACTTGGAGTGTGTATGTATATAATGAACGTGTGTCCGCACCCCTGCGCACGTACGCGTACTTGGAGTGTATGTATATGATGCATGTCTGTGTGCGCACCCTTGCGCATGCAAGCGTCGTCTTGGATTCTGTGCATATAATGAACGTGTCTGTGGTCACGCCTGCGCATGCACGTGTCGACTTGGAGTGTTCGTATATGATGAATGTCTGCGTGCGCACCCCTGCGCATGCACGTGTCGACTTGCTGTGTATGTTTATAATGAATGAATGTCGATGTGCGCACCCCTAAGCAAACACGTGTCGACTTGCTGTGTATGTTTAAAATGAATGAATGTCTGTGTGCGGCACCCCTGCGCATGCACGTGTCGACTTGGATTCTGTGTATATAATGAACGTGTCTGTGGGCACGCTTGCGCATGCACGTGTCGACTTGGAGTGTTTGTATATCGTAAATGTCTGTGTGCGCACCCCTGCGCATGCACGCGTCGACTTGGAGTGTGTATGTATATAATGAACGTGTGTGTGCGCACCCCTGCACATGCACGCGTCGACTTGGTGTGTATATATATAATGCATGTCTGTGTGCGCACCCTTGCGCATGCAAGCGTCGACTTGGAGTGTATGTATATAATGAACGTGTCTGTGGGCACCCCTGCGCATGCACGTGTCGACTTGGAGGGTGTGTATATGATGAATGTCTGTGTGCGCACACCTGCGCATTCACGTGTGGACTTGGAGTGTTTGCATATGATGAATGTCTGTGTGCGCGCCCCTGCGTATTCACGTGTCGACTTGGTGTGTATGTATATAATCATTCTCTCTCACGTGTCGACTTGGTGTGTATGTATATGATGAATGTCTATGTGCGCACCCCTGCGCATGCACGCGTCGACTTGGAGTGTGTGTATATGATGAACGTCTGTATGCGTGTGCGCACCCCTGCGCATTCGCGTGTCGATTTGGAGTGTTTGTATATCATAAATGTCTGTGCGCGCACCCCTGCGCATGCACGTGTCGACTTGGTGTGTATGTATATAATGAATGTCTGTGTGCGGCACCCCTGCGCATGCGTAGGTGTGCACACAGGGATATTTATAATGTACACCTACTCCAGGTCCATACGTGCATGCACAGGTGTGCGCACAGAGAATTTCATCATGTACACCTATTCCAGGTCCAAACGTGTATGCGCAGGTGGGCGCACAGAGACATTCATCACATACATACACTCTAGTCAACGCGTGTATGCGTAGGTGTGCTCACAGGGATATTCATGATGCACACCTACTCCAAGTCCATACGTGTATGCACAGGTGTGCGCACAGAGAAGTTCATCATGTACACCTACTCTAACTCCAATCGTGTATGCGCAGGTGGGCGCACAGAGCCATTCAAAATATTCACACACTCCTAGTCGACACGTGTATGTATATATATATATGCTCCCTTAGGGAGGGAGTTATATATGCTCTATTGAGCCTTCACGATGCGGTTATTTCTGGACGAATCCGAAATGTCTTTTCGAATTACTGATGGAACACCAAGAGCTTTGCTTATATGCCGGTTTCTATAAAGCGCCTGTACAGCGGACCATTGCATACTCTGCAATACTCCATAAGCTTCGTTACAGGTTTTCTGACTAAACTCCATTGAATCTGCAAAAGACAATACTGTTGGAAGAATACGAGATGCGATGCGAATTGAATAGTTGTTGAGCAAATGAATTGTGACGTGATCAGACATTGAACTCCCATGTGTATGAAAAAAGAAAGTATATCACATCTCAACCCATACGCATACCACACCGGCCCCCCTGCGTCGCCCTACTGTGTGCCCTCAGCGTTTTTGATGATGCGGACCAGCCCGTCTTCGTGTGCGAACCACAGGTCGGGAAGCTCCCCGTACCATTGCAGGAGGAACTCGGTCAGCTCGGGGAAGAGGCTGTTGACCCTCTCTAAGGTGGCTTGGCAGCTGATGATCTTGAGGCCGTTCTTGGCGTTCAGGGAGATTACGACGCGCTTCTCATCGGCGGCACCTGAGGCCAAGAAGGTGCGAATGGCGGCCAGCAGCTTGTCTTGCCCGGAGGCGATGCCGACTGCGTACTGGTAAGGGCTGAGCTTCTCCATGGACTGCTCCCGGAGTTGGAAGCAGAGCGCACGGGTTATCCAGCGCCGCAGGATCTCCCCGATGGCGATCGGCTGTACCTCGCCTGTCAGATTGCCGTCCTCGTCCGTCTTCTCGAGGCCAATCAGCCGGGATATGCCCAGGAGAGGCCTGATGTGGTATGAGACGTTGGCCTGCACGACGTCTTCTACCAGGTTCGTCAGCGGCAAATAGTCGAAGGCCTCATGGATGCCCCTCAGGTGCTCGTATCGCCAGCCTGTCGGCCCCTGCGCCGACCCCTCCTATGCCGTCTTGAGTGCGGTCAGTAGGGGAGTAGGGTGCAGCTCCAGCGGAGGGCGGAGCTCGCCTGTCGGGGGGGGGGTGCGCGTGTGGTGTCCAGCGGTTGGCCGGGCGGGTGGAGGCCTTGGAGGATGTTGAGGGTGTTGTCGTTGTCGGGCGCCACCGGGGGGGAGGTCAGTGCCTCGACAGCACGCTTGCACTCTCCGGCGCGAGACGGCGGGCTCGCTTGGCCGCGGGGGCAGCTGCGGGGCGGTCTACGGAGTGTGCTCGTCGCTGTCACTCGAGAGCCTCATCCCACAGCGTCTCCCAATCGCCCTCGTCAAAGAGCTGATACCGCCGACGCCAGACCCGCCCGACACCGCTATGCCGGCCTCCTCGCTTGAGCGAGAACAAGAGCAAGGTAGGGAGAATGCACAGCAGCGTGTAGGCAGGCACCAATAGCTCCTCGTCAGCGCATCTCACCGCGTTGGCGCGGGCGGCGCGAATAGCGAACTCCCGACGGGCGACCCATTTGTTGATCGTGGGGATCTGCCCTTGCATGAATGGGCTGATGTCTCAAGTCGCGAGCTGGTGGAGGGCGGCCACAGGCAGGGGGTACCGGCTGCCGTT